GCAGAGAGCTGCAGCTGAGGTAGGTGAGAGGAGAGGACAGGGACGGAGAGGAGAGAGGGACAAAGGGGAGAAGCAGTGGGAGGAGAGGAAAGAAGGAAGGAAGGAAGGTCAGGATAGGAAGGGTAGGAGAAGGAGTGAAGAGGAAAGGAGCAGGGAGCCGGTGATGTGCTCCCTCGTGTAAATACCCCATTATCAAAAGTCTTAAAGAGCCCAGATCAGCTCTCAATACCGCTGTCATTTTTCTACTTTATTTGTCAAGTTAAGTTAAAACACTTGTGTGTGTGTGTGTGTGTGTGTGTGTGTGTGTGTGTGTGTGTGTGTGCATGGTTGCCTGTTTATGTGTGTATGCAGTGATGGGAGATATTCCCCCCCCCCTCGCTTTGCTAGCCTTATTACTGGATCAGTGGAACAGATGAAGGCCAAAAATAGGTGGGGACTTTATTTAGCGGGAGCTGAGCATGTAACCGTATCCAGTGGTTTTATTTTAAGGGACGGAGTTCATCCTAAATTTCGATCCACAGTCCGAAGCGGCAACCGTAAGACAGTGACAGGCTTCAACGAGGCCCGGGGACATGTGACCGGCTTTAATGTCAGCGTGGTTTAATATAAGAACTGATCTCTTATCAGGCCTCAGTTACTTGCTGACTGACCAGCTGGGCTGAACTCTGGTCCGGCAGAAAGGTGAGGAGTTAAAAGTGCAGAGACCAGCCTCCTATGGTATTTCACACTCGAGCACAGATTTAGGGGGTGGCGGAGGGGGTGAATCAGGAATGTGAAACGAGTCAAGGGTGTGTGTGTGTGCCGGGTGCATTTCACTGCCCGACATGCCTCCTCCGTCAGAACCAATGTACTATCCATGTGTGTTTGTTTACATGTGCTGCCGTTTGCAGGTGGTGCTTCACCCATTTTCTGGACTGACGGTGCAAATAGGCCCCTGCAGTGTGCTCGGACTGCTGTTTGAGGAGCGTGTGGCATCATTTGGGACACTGTTTTGATCTAGTCTCAGGGGTGTAAAGTGTAGTGTTCGGGCTAGAAAGCTAATGACATTGATTTTAAAAATCTGGGATGAATTGAGTTCAATGAATGTCGTACTATGGTGTTGGAGAAACGGCTACTAGCAGCTTCCCACCTGCTGTGTCGTATTTCTTTTCCAGTTCAACTTCCACCCCTCATGCACCAGGACCATGTGTTGAGCCCTTGTTGCTAAAGTAAATGTTATTCTTTGAACCAGCCACGTGTTGTAAGGCTTACACGTGTTTAGTTGTTGTTTTGTTACTTTTTACAGTTTACATTTATAAGCTGCTCTATTTTTTTCCCCTCCAATTATCTAAATTAATCAAATTGAACTGAATGGAGGGAACACCAAACGGAAAACATTTGTGTTTTTAGTAACAGCAGTGAATGAATTAGACCGGCTGTGTGCTATGTTTCTATTGAGACTGTTGATTCACTGGGACTGCTAAAGTGAGCTCTTTCTTTCTGGCGCTCTAATCCGGTTTTCCTGGTTGATTATTTGATTTGGAAAGAGCTCCTGGCCTGCTAAGTGTGTGTTTGTCAACACTCTGGCTCCGCACTAAAATCCCTCATGTGCAGAGAGTCGAGAGAAACAGAGAGAACACAGGAGGACACAGAAAGAGTCAGAGATGAAAGGGAAAAAAAGGCCTGGTTTAGACTCGCCGCAGTGAAGTCGGTGCGAGGGGTGCACACCAGAAAACAACGTCATCGTGCCGTGCACGTCGTGTGTAAAGGCTCCGCAAGTGGTTGTGCACCTCTGACTTTTCGTAAAAAGGTGCTCGCTGGGCTTTTCAGATGTGACTGTCACAGATAGTTCTCTGAAAACACTAATAACATGTCCAATGATTTTAAAAAGATGGCCAATTTGTTTTCAAATGCTTTAGAAATCGGAGGTCTAAAAACACATGTACATTTGACTATATGTTTTGCTATACAGGATATTCCACCTTGGTTTCATTCTGATGCATTTAATACTTGGATTTCTTTCTTTACAGGGCGTGTATAAGTATAAGTAACCCATGAATATGAGATGTATACGTTTACAGTTAATTACAATACATTATTTTGTGTCGTCACTGCTTTTTCACAGTACATTTAAAGGTTTTTTCTTATTATTTTCAGTCCCAGTTTTTCCGTGCTTTTCATCGTGTTCTAAGCTACACCCGTTAAGGCTTCTCCGTTTTTTTACGTCCGTACTTTCCTCTCTTACGGATACATTCCTCCAGACACTGTTAACTAATTTTATGCTGTCTGGAACACACATGGTGCTGTGAATAAACATGCCCTGATTTATTGACACACACACACACACACACACATACAGGCATGCAATGCACACAGCCACATGCGCACACATGCACACGCGCACTCTGCGTGATGACTTCCACAGTGTGCAGACATGATCATAAAACAAGCAACACAAACCAAAAGAGCGTTGATTCCTGTGACTCCATGTTTCTTTGAATCCAGAATGATGAATAATGTAATTTACAGCCATGGATCCATTCAGACTATAATAATCACCTGTTACTAGCAAGATTTGTACTTTCATGTGGCTCTTAAGATCTAATGCGGTTGTCAAAGATGAACCCATTACTGCTTGTTATACTCATGCTGTTCCTTGGTGCAACTTCCTTACGAAATACATTTCATGTGCCACATACAGCAGTTTTGACAAAGTCGGGAATTATCTCACTATGTCAGTTCAAGTTAAGAAGTTACATTTCCGAAACATACGCTGTCTACGTAGGTTCGTGTGTACTTTTGTGGGAAGAGGAAGCGTCCTTCTTTGCTCATGATCTTTGGGGTTAGTGTCAGAGATTTCATTCTGCCTCCTCACAGCAACCTCTGCACCACAAGAACTAACAGCAGTGTACAAAGACACACACACACACACACACACTCAAAAACATAGTGGATTACCGATCTGTTTAGTCATTCATTCTAATTCAGACATGTCTCCATCACTGATCAGGTCAAATACATGGAGGATGTCCTGGAAGAGTATCAACATACCATGTGGGGAGGGGAGTTTTTGCATCAAAACAAAGCCTGGGGGTTGGAAATAAAATTTAAAAAATAAAAACTCAACAGTTGGCACAGTAATTGATTTATAGGTACAGATAAACAAACCTTTCCCAATGTAATTACACATGATTATAAATGCCACTTCCTTATGGAAACATAACAATGCTTTCCACAGAGATTTGGTGAAGCAGAAGTTGGAGAGATGTTTTAAAACTCAACACTTTTAAAACCCTAGAAAACCACAGTGGAGTGGAACATGTCCTCTCTGTCCATAATCATTCGTCTTCAATCTGGCAAAAGTCATCGGCTCCATAATAAATGAGTTATGTTCAGATAACCACTTAACTAACTTGGTGTTAAGTGGTAACAACAAAGTGTGAGTTTGTTTACTTGCCAGTCATTTTATTTTCAATGCAGCCTTCTCTTGGGAACCCAATGTGTCTTTAATGAGCTCAGTAGCTCAACCCTCTTCAGATACACGCGTTTTATTCAGCTCAACAGTGAAGCATTATTCACATTTAAGTGTCTGCCTCACACAACCCGCTGTAAACACACAGCCTACTTCAGTTTTTCCACGGCTCAGTTCAACATAGGTGCCCCGTACCTTAACTTCTTCCACCACGGGGGGGGGGGGGCGTCAAGGAAGTAGCAAGTAAAGAGAGAAAGACAGTGAGATACGATCATGACCACAGGCTACCAGTAAATCCAATGACAGATGTTCCCGTGAACACCAACTCCACCGTTGATTCCAGTACACCTTTTACCAAATGCTGGAAATAAGTTTCATTCAATAATCCCGCTGCAAACCAGGAGAGTTTAAACACTGGCTTCCGAGAAAGTCGGTGTTTTGAAACCAAGCACACATTTATTCGGTAGTACTGGCTCACTGTTTTTCTCAGGTGCACATGTTTCCAGGGCCCGATTCTGACCAATTTAATCCTTTTTTTTTAAATTTTAGCTGGTTTTGGAACGGCACATGACAAAGCTACACCCACTTTCTCACCCACCACAGTTTCGTACCAAACATTGACACAGCGGCGTGTGACGCAAACCTGCTGGGAGGAAAGGCTCAGCAGGCAGCTGTGGTGGGGCTGAGGCTTGAAGCAGAAATGAATGGCCTTGTTCTCTCCTGTTAAACTCAACGGGCTGCCCTCCATTTGAGCCGGAGGTGTGGGCTGCGAGGGCAATATGGAGGGAGCGGGGGGAGGGCGAAAGGGAGGGGGGGGGGGGGCAGTCTGCCAACGACAACATTACAACAGTGGTGGGATTGTGAGGCCTGTGTTTTCTGTCCCTCTGAGGAGGAAAAGGTTCTGCTCTCCTTTCCATCGTTCTCTTGTCTCTGACTGACATGGAGCACTTTTCCTCTGTCCAACATCTCACCTGTCTGAGGGGGAAGCCGGGGTGCCGGCACTCAGGGGCCAGTGGAGAGAGCAGCTGCTCGTCCAGGTGTCGTCCGCACGAACCGCTGGATTTCAAAAGACTGTTGACATTTTTACATCTTTGTGTTACTGACCTCACAGAATTCGTTGAAGATCGTGTGAATTATACTTTTGTACTGTAGATGAAGTACAACTTTTATTTGGCCTCGGACCGGTTGACCAGAACAGGTTTAAGGCTATGGTGAGGTTTATTGGGGGGGTAACAGTGTCCTGCAAAGTATCCTGTTAAGGGGCAGGCGTGCAATGGGAAAACAGGATAAATCTATTAGTTGAAAACATCAGTGGCGAACTGGTCGGAGGCCAAAGCGCCAGATGAATCTCCAGTGGTCCTGCCAGAAATATCATAACACCCTCAACCTGACATTTAGATTCCCTCCAAAAAAAAGGTGGCCTTCTGAAGGCAGTGGAAACGAAGAGAGTATTCCTTTGTTCACACCTCTCATCTGGACCCCGAGAACTCACATCTGGTTTTTTTTTTGGTTTTTTTTCCATCTCTCTCTCTCCTCTGTCGTGTCTCAGCTCATTGGCTACAGTGAGAAGCCCATCAACCTGCAGATGTTCATCGGAACAGCAGACGACCGTTACTTGAGGCCGCACGCCTTCTACCAGGTGCACCGGATCACCGGGAAAACCGTAGCCACAGCCAGCCAAGAAATTGTAGTCTCCAGCACCAAAGTTCTCGAAATTCCTCTCCTGCCTGAAAACAACATGTCAGCCGGGTAAGTTATGAGCTTACCACCATGAAGGAAGCCCTGGCTAATGAAAAATAAGCACGTTTATGATCATAAAGGGTTGTTACATCCTCCAAAGGAGATGTAATAGATTTAAACAAACAGGAAAAGCTTACTAATGGAGCAGAGAAGCAACCTTTATTCAAATATTTAAGATTACAAATCATCTGGATGATTATATTTCAGTAAGATCTGGTTACATTTATCTCTTTATTCATAGGAAGGGATCCGGTAGGGATTTTCTCATTTATAGCTGTAATAAATCATATTCACAGGCATCTTTATTTTGTGAATTCAACACTTAATTTGCCCCTCATTGCCAATCCCCTGCTGGGCTTGTGGTTGGTTTCTATCACTCCCAGGTCCTTCACGACCTTGTCCATGTCTTAGCGATTGCCCTCCCAGTGGTGCCGTATGGGGGCCAACTATTTTTTCCCTCTTACCTTGCAGTATCGACTGTGCTGGCATCCTCAAGCTGCGGAATTCGGACATCGAGCTGCGGAAGGGGGAGACGGATATCGGGAGGAAGAACACACGAGTCCGCGTGGTGTTCAGAGTGCACATCCCTCAGCCCAACGGGAAGGTGCTGTCGCTGCAGGCAGCCTCTATTCCTGTGGAGTGCTGTGAGTGTCAAGTCTCGCACGCATGCAATCACAACAAAACACATTCATTCAGAAAACCACTCACTCAAAACACACACACACACATAAGCAAACCTTACCACACACGTCTTTACTAGCAAGCTTTCAGTCTGGCGATTTGATACGTTGTTTTAATCTACCATTTGCGCTCATTGAAAGTCACTTCAGATATTTTGTTGACAACTTTGTATCATAAAGTGCCCCTGTTAACGTGCCTGCTTATATTATAGTACATCCGTAGTCCAGCCTAAAAGATACACTGCCGTGTGAATGAACACAGCTCGGCAAATGATCATCCTCCTTTTCTCCCGAACCCCCCGCTGCGTCTCTCCCAGCCCAGCGCTCGGCTCAAGAGCTGCCCCAGGTTGACAAAACCAGCCTGACCAGCTGTCTGGTCAGCGGGGGAGAAGAGATGGTCATCAGCGGCTCCAACTTCTTCCCAGAGTCCAAGGTCATCTTCCTGGAGAAAGGCCCTGGTAAGTGTTGTGTCTGCACAGCAGCTTACCCTCCGACCACCTCTGCAGAAACAGCTTGGGCCAATTAAGTGTGTAAAACAAATTAGGTTTCGTGTTTGTTTTTTCACATGACACGTGACGTTAATGTGGTTCATTGGGATAGTCGTGTTCTTTTGTGGCAAATATAAAAATAAAAACTTTGGGTTGATGCAGATTTACACGCACTTGAGGTTGGAATCAGAAATTTGTAGATCTTGCAAAATGTTGCCGAGATCTGCAGAAGGTTATGAAGATTTTTATAGTCGTCATGGCGGATGCATGTCTGCAGGGATATAAAAAAGACATGAATCATTATCTTAGCCTCAACAAGTCTCCTTGTCCCACAGGGCATTTATTTAAATGCAGAACAGATTTATGTCTGCTAGTAATACTGTCTAACAAGCAGGCTTTAGGCAGCAACAGGCACATATTGTATAGTGAGGACAAAAATAAAAGAAAGTTCACATTTTCATATCATCATCCACACTTAGTTTACTAACTCAAACAATGTCATTAAGAAAATTTAAATGTTTTTGTTTGAATTAGTTTATGGGACAAAAGAACGTAATAATTTACAGATACATATTTATGTAGAAAATCCAATACAAGTAGGCAATGCTTTTTTAATGTCATTGATATCCAAAAAAACAAAATCACAGACACAAAAATACACAAAACAGACGCATCCTCTAAACTAAATTGAGTATTTGTGACTTTAAAAGACGCTGAAGTGATTACTTAGTTAAACTCCCCGTGCTAGTCGTCGCTTGTCTTTCTCTGCTGTCTTTTTTTTCTCTTTTGTACATCACTCCGTAATCAAAACACAGAGATTCCCAGAGATGGAAATTTTAAATGGAGAACATTCATAGAGCCAGTCTCTGGCTGCCTGAGGTACCTTTGTGACGTAGAGCAACACAATCAAGTTGACACATGGCAGAACGTTGAGTGGAGTAGTTTTTGTGAGTGAGAGCCATTCTCTGGGACTCTGTCAGGAATGTCTTCAGCTCTTTCATGTGAAGTGCGGCATAGAAAAGTAGCAACGGGTGAAAGAAACTCACTGATGGTCTTTACAGCACAGCAGCAAGTGGAAAGCTTAGAGAGGTGCATCTTGGGTAGGGAGGAAAGCTGGGCCTCTGTGGGAGGAGACAGCAGGAATATTACAGGAGAGGGGAAGAGGATGGGCTTGTGTAAATGATCCCCCTCATCAGGACTAATCCGCCGGCTTTAGTGCAATGAAGCACTGATTGGAGTAAGTGCAGGAACGGAAGAAAAGGAAGAAAGAGAGGCAGTGACAGACATTTTTCCACCATCTCTCATAATTGAAAGACAACAGTAGACTCACAAAGGGACCGGAGAGACTGGCCGATTGTTGCTAGTACACAGAGATTATTGGATGGCTCTATAAATGACGTTACTATATACAGAAACAGAGGTCCTGGCGTTTGTTTGTGCGAGATCCTATTTTAAAGCACATCAATGTCAAACTGATGCAGTAGTTTAGCTTTGCTATCTCTTGGTGTGCAGAGCATTGGTGTGATTTCTGTTTTTTGTTACCTTAATGTAACCTTTACTTGGGTCTTCAGGATCAAGTGGATAATATTCTGAAAGCTTACTAACTGAAAGGCCTTTAAACTAAATAAATACTGTTTTAACCTCAGTGATAGATGTCTGTTTGTCTCACAGAACATAGTCTCTATTTACAACCAGGATTAGGGTTTCACAGTTACTAGACTGCATCAAACATTAAAATGTACAATAGGTCCATAATTGGTATAAGTATTTCAACTTTACAAGGATGATTGTTGATATAAAAGCAATAACACCGACTGCCCTGAATCGTGACTAACGCAGCACGTGTACTCTGTACTGCCGTTGGTTTTTACAAAGACGTCTCAACATAAACAGTGATCACCGTTCTGTTACCCTCTAATGGGGCGCGCAGGGCGTCTCGATGATCCGAGTCATTGTCCTCTCTGAGGTATGAGGTTCCTGTCGGTGCTTGTTGTCTGGCGGAGCATGTGGGGCCCTTGTGCCTGCCTGTTGAATGTCAACACGCACTGCACTGCAATAATGCGCCGCTGTCAGCTGCAAAGACGTTCAAGGTCCTTCTCCGTCATCTTCCCAGTAGAGAGTGTCTCTGTACGGTTAATGTGCCGGTGGATTACTACGACTAAGAATAATGTTCGGGTGAGATTAGCGCAGGTATATCACCTACTTAAAGCGACAGTAGAGTGTGGATTTTGGTAGAACGCTTAATAGCCTAAATGTTACAAGGCTTACAGTTGAGTGCTTGTTAGAATCTACTCATATAGGCTGGTCCCTCTCTGCAGATGTGTTGAATATGCCTGACGTGACGGTGGTATTTGGGGGAATCCTTTTGGCTTTTGAGAAAGAGGCCGTGCAGGTGCAGAGAGTATACTTGCACCGTGTGCACACCATGATACAGGCAACTGCAAATGAATTCGACTCCACTGAGAGACTATACAGCACTAAGATGCTGAGAGGATTTCTTCCAACCACACGGCAGTCCTGTCAGTGTTTTCAGCCCGACGTCTTCCCTCCAAGCAGCTGCCCCTAAGATGTCTGGCCAAATAATTTGATCCCTCATAGGAAAACTGGAAGGGATGTTTATAGCCAGAAACCTGGTAGTGTGTAGAGGCATTTTAAAATAAATACAATTATTCCATTGCTCTCTCCATAATTTTAACCAGGCAAGACAAACAGCAGGATATTTGGACATTTGATTACTATTTAATAGCTGCAAGGATTTTCTAGTCCTTTAAAAACGACATCATTTGGACGTCTGAAGCTTCGTGTGGTTCTTGAGCCCTGTCTGTTTGAGAAAGCACTGCACACTGACGTCATCTTTAGGAAAATAGGGAAAGAGAGCTACTCCAGATGAGGAAAGTTACTTTGAAAAAATAGCACACTATAATTCAAAAGGGGTCTAAATTATGAAACCGTATTCATCAGTGATCCTGTGTGGCCTGGGTTCATAACTGCCTCTGTGTTAGTCATTCATTTCAATTTTCACTCCATTTTGTCATTTTATTGCCTATTTTAACGGTGCTTTTTGAAGTTGCTAGTATGAGTGATGACAGCAGGTTTTGTATTTGTCCAAAAACTGGCTAGTACATTATGTGAGGATGTGGTACAATGGTCCTGTATTCTGCTTCATCACCCACTGAGCCCTCGGTTCATTCTTCCTTCTTCAGCCAGACCCGCACTCAAGATTTGTGAAGTCTTTTCTGATATCCTCGTCTGTCAAATGTGGCGCTTTTCTCATGATTTTAAGGTTTAATGTTGAATGTAAAGAATTTCCTGAAGTATGACCAGTAAACATTTCAACTTGTAATATGTTGTGCAATATATGTTTCTGCTTGTTTATGGCAGTAGGATTATCATTGGCTTATGCATTTAGCTTTTTTATTCTTTACCATTCCCTCTAGATGGACGACCACAATGGGAGGTTGAGGCAAAAATAATGCACGAGAAAACTCAAGGAGTAAGTTGTCAGTTATTCTACATCATTGTGTCTGTATTACAGGTATTTGCGCCTTAATAAACATGTCTGTTGTACATTTCTTTGTGCTAGTACTTGCATTTTATTCTATTGCAAATGGTGTTGTATGTTGTTGGCAATAAGTGTATGTTAATAACGTTCTATGTGTCTTTGTAGTCGTGCATCGTGGTGGAGGTCCCTCCCTACCACAGTAAGTCTGTGGGCTCAGCTGTGCAGGTGCAGTTCTATGTCTGCAATGGCAAGCGGAAAAGGAGCCAATCCCAGCGCTTCACTTACCTTTCAGGTGAGATAAGAGAGTGTCATGAGGAGGCGGGGTGTTAGACTTACAACTGCTATATTACAAAAGGGTACAAAACAGGTAAGGCAAGGGAGCACAGTGTTGCTAATCGTACGCTGTTTTTAGGCGCTAGTATTATGATTCTAAGTCATTTTCCTGCAACTCATTTTTACAGATATCTTACACAAAGAGATCCTCTCGAGCTTTACTCTGCATTCCTCTGGGTGTACTGCTTCCTGCTGTAGTTAATCCCCCCAAGGGACAGGAGTTTGAGTGACACCAGAGGCGGTTGTAACGCGTTCTTCATGTCGCACACTTCTCCACAGGGGTTTCACTAACCCCGTTTCTCTCTTTCTCTCTCCAGAGAAAGCATCGCTGTGGTTTAGAGGGGGCTCTTCCACTAACAATAACTCTAACACCTGCAAACTGTTTAGTTTGTGAAGCCTACACGTTTTCTCTCTCACATGTACTGTGCTTGCATGGGGTTTTATGATGCAAATCTTTTGCTATCCAAGAAATGTTTGCTGTACATAGACCTCGAGTTGTGGTTTGATATGATTACTTTAGCAGTCGTGATATTTTGAAAGTTTCCTTAATGTTTTCCATTAAAGTCACATTCCTGCTATTTGATATTGTTTCTCTTGAAGCCAGTCAAACTGAAAAACGCCGTTGGCAGAATATAATGAAACGTGAGCATTTTGTGCGACATATCCAAACCCCTGAGTCTCACCACAACAGTGTGTGTGTGTGTTTATGTGTGTGTGTACGCACATAAGCGGCCTCGCCCCTCCACCCACCCAGCCGTTCTGTTTGCAAGCACGCCCACTCGGCACTGACAGTTCCTGTTTTCGGCGTTGACAGATTGGGGCAGCCAATCAGAGCAGAGCAGAGTAACACGGCTGTGTCAGTCAGGCTGGGTTGCTGACACCGCTAGTGTCACCACGGACACCGCCTGCTTTATTGTGGCGAACGAAAAAAAAAGGTTTCACCGTGGGCTGGGCTGCAGAGGCCCTGGCCCCATTTAAGGATGAGTTCTGAGAAAATTGGGTGACGAAACGTCTTTTTCAAACATTGAAGGCATATGTAGGTTAATGTTGGGTCAATAAAATGAAAACACCCATTCTTTAATTATGATCTATGTTTTAATATTCATTACAATACCCTTCTCTTACCCTTGATATCCCTCTGGCTCCATTTTTACCAGAATGGACTTGACTTAAATGCTGTTTGACCTCTTCGTGCCCCCTTCCCTCTCACTCCCAGAGGCATGATGGGGTGAGGAGAGGGCATGAGCAGTGAACTCGTTTGCTTTCCGTCTGATCTGGGCTGCGGGGCATTCGGCTCCTCTTCCCATACAACATTTCACATGATGGCACCCGGACCGACAACATATGCTCTCCCTCTAATTCAGAGCTGGATAAAAATAAAACTCACTGTCACAAGGCACCAGATTGGGAAATAGGTTACCGATCGGCATAGCAGTGCTGTGAGCTTTCACAGTAAAAGGGAATGGCCCCATTTACCATTACAATGTCACTAGTTGTTTGTTTGTTTTCATCTGGAAGGAGACCCATTTCACAATACATACACTTCAGACACTATTTTTACTGCTTTGAGATTCTCATGGTCTAGCTTTTCAGGTTTTACTGAAACATATTTCAACTTCAAAGCCACAGATTCATTCAGGGACTTACTGGGGGTTGAGAATGAGGAAGAACTGATGCCTTTTATTTAGCTGGTTGAAGTCACTGGACTTCTGTACCTGAAGCAAAAATAGCAGTTTCTTTTTGTTTTTCCTCTTCAGTAGTGATAGACGTAACTGACAATGTGTTTTTTTTTCTCTCCCATCCTCTTTGTCTTTCCTGTTTCGTCACATCTCCCTTCCTCCCTCTCTATGTGCAAACCTCTCTCCTTTTAGTCATGGTGAAACAGGAGCACAGAGAAGAGCTGGACCTCTCTGCAGTACCCCCTATGTCCATGCCCCTGGCACACGCTGCCAGTCTGGTGCGCACTCAGCTGCCTTCTCCTGAGCAGTGCCACCCATCGGACAGCCTTCTGTCCAGCTCCCCTCGTGGCCTGGCCGCCAGCTCCGGACCTGGCCTGCTACCCCTGCAGGCCCCCTGCTCCTCCCTGGGCTCCCCATCTTTCCAGCACCTGCCTCACCTTCAGGGTCGCAGCTTGCACCACCCTCCCGCTGACTGCCACATGACGTTCCACCCGAGCTCTGCCCCCGATCCTCTTCCTGCTCCTCCCCGGCCCTCCTACCAGCCTATGCAGCACAGCCACAGTCATAGTCATAGCCTGCCCTTCAACGGCCAGTCCAGCCTTCCTCCTCAGGGCTACGAGCGGATGCCCTATCAGCACAGCCCCAGTGCGGTGTCGCACCCAATAAGCATGGGAATGGTGTACCCTTCCTCCCCTTGCTCCTCACCATCAGCTCCCTCCTCTTCAACCACCAACCCCATCGCTGGGTCTCCCCAGAGCCAGCAGCCCCTGCTCGCCCCCTCATCCCCACACCTGCACACACTCGGAGGCTATCACTGCTCCCCAAATCCCACCCGGGTGCCCTCTCCCGGTGGCCACCCTCTTGTAGGGCGGCACTCCTCCCAACTGCAGAGGGCTATGGGCTACCACCCGGTAAGTCAAAGGTCGTCCTCGTGTCCCACACCGTCCAGCGCCCCTGCTCCACGCATGATCCCCTCTCCCCACTCTGGGCCTTCCTCCCCTCAACTCCACTCGCTGCCCTACCAGTCTCCCACCTCCTCCTCCCCCACCTCTGGCGGCAGTCCTCTGGGGCCCATGCACCAGCAGCATTCAGGACAGCCCTCTCCCCAGGCTACAAGCCCGGTCATGGCCAGCCTGTCCCCGGTGGCAGCGGGGCCCCTGGTTCACCCTCTAAGCCCTCAGGGGCTGTTCCCCTCGGACGGAGAGAGGCTGGACATCAAAGAGGAGCCCGAAGAGAGGGAGCCCACCTTCCGCTCCATCGGCCTACAGGACATCACGCTGGACGATGGTAAGATACTTATCTAGGATGTTAACCTCTGTGACTGCAAAATCATTTTGTGTCCAATTAATGTCTTTAACAAGCAGAAAAGCTCTGACAGTCATTGAGAGCAATGACATCAACCTGCCGTTTTACTCACTCATTCTCCAGTTTTCTGTCACTCCAGTCTCTCTGCTCTCATTATCACATGTTCCTTCCTCGCCGTGTCTTTTTACACAAGGTATTTACATATCACACCCATCTGTGAACAATCTCATTTTCAGTCTAAAACAGTAGACCACTGAGGGATCACATTTACCCAAACCAAATGTCACGTGCAAGATACATTTGTGTCTGATGATGTAAAACTAAACCAGTAGTTTTCAAGTGGCTGAAGCCTTAATGCCTGATTATGGTGATAGCCTTTCAACAGGTTCATTACTGAGGGGTCCTGTGACTTAGTACTGGGTAACATAGACACAATAGGACTGATAACTATAGTAGCATAAGGCATGATGGTAAAACTGCTGAGCTTCTCTATATATATGGCAGCACTTTCTTGGCTTCTTGGAGCTGGGGAGGGAGAGAGGATTGCATCATTTTGTGCTACTTGCAAAGACTGTAGCTGAAACACAGAAACTACAGCTGTGTGCTGCTGCATCCTGTGTGCGCCTGTGTGTACGTGAGCGTGTGTGTACATGCATTAACAACTGTAATTAGCACACTCAGGAGAACTTGTTGACCTAACAATTGGCCATGAAGTCAGCACATGCATTTACCAGCTTTTGTCTCTCTTACATGATCTCTTACTTATTTTCTTAAAATGTGTGTGTCCGAGCTGTTCCCAATCATCTACGTCCTTATCTGCCGTTCAGAGCCTTGCTTTGGTTTTATTAACCCCGGTGTCATATTCAAATGAGGGTCCTGAAGGTTTAGGGTTAATGAATAGCCTGGCGAGGCTGTCAGCGAGGTGTGATATTGTGTGCTAGCAAGGGTCAGCCTAATTATCACAGGGCCATTGTCAATAAGTCATGTGTGAAAGGCCGACAACCGCTGAGGTTTACCAGTGCGTAATACTTATGCATACACACGCTAACACACACATTTAAACACATGTCCTGAAAACAAACTGTTTCATCGTCTCTTTTCTGTCTTTCTTTATTACAGACAATGTGCTGCACCATAGAACGTGTTTGCGCACAGAACTGAAACTCCGATTTAGTCGTGCCTCTCCCGATCACACGCGCAGAGACAGACACTCTGAAAGTAGCTGGCTGTGCTCTCGCAAAAAAAAGAAAGTGTGAGAAAAGTTTGTAAATGACACGGTTCAACTGGGAATGTAAGCTCTCCCTTTGAGCCGGTGGCTAAAAATAGCTTTCTGTGCCAGACCAGCTCTGTAGGCCATGTTTTGAAGTAGCAGAGGGAAGCTTACACACGGCTCCCAGTTTTGGGAGGTCACACTCTTTTTTTTTAAGTAGACCATATTCACCCCAGTTTGACAGACAGACAGACAGATCAGGATGGGCATTAATGCATCCATAACATCCATAACACACAAATAAAATCCAGAGCTATTATGCATAATTCAATTTTCAAGGCAGTGTATATAATCACAACACTTCAGACTTTTGAGAACGATGTTGCATCAACTTCACTCCCCTTCAGCTCATGATTTGTACTCACTCGGTATTATTTCTACTGTCATCCACTCTTAAAATACATCTTTTATTAAAACGGTCCATGTGTTTGGGTAAAACGTGTGTTTGAACCGTTTTGTGACCTGTTGAAAACTGAGACTGAATCATTGTTTCATCGCACGCTCATTATGCATGAAAACGAACTCCTGCATTAGAATCACAGACGTCTGTCAGTGGCATGAGAGGGAATACGAGCAGAAAAGTGCTCTGGTTAGCAAGCAGATGGCCCTCGTGACGCACACCAGAGCATGCTTGAGATGTGTGTCTGTGTGTGTGTGTGTGTGTGTGTGTGTGTGTGCGCGCGTTGGACGGGGTATTGTGTTTGTGTCTGTCTGTTTGATGTTTGTGGAGGTGTGAGTATGCTGCATGTGTGCGCCGTGCAAAGCAGGAGACACAGGAGGTGAGAAGACAGACTGACAGACAGATGGACAGACGAGGTCAGAATCCAACCCCACTGCAGGGTCACTCAGCCGACACATCCAATCTGACATTAAAGGAAAGTCTGAACTTCATCATTTCATTCTTTTTAAAAAAAGGTATCTACTTTATATTTTGATATTCTCCATTTAGATTAAATTATCTTACCGTGAAATGTCCCCGTTTACAAATATAAAAATGATGTAGAATATATATTTAATGTTAAAGAGTCTCTTTGAGATCACAGGAGACAGACGGCTAGGCTTTGTTTGTATTAGGTTTTGCGGGGAACATAAGAAAAAGAAGATGTTAACAAAGGCAATGAACTGGAAAAAAGAAGAGAAGGAACGTTTCAACAAAGCAGCACGGGACATCACTGAATGTTGTTAAGATGTGCAGCTTTGTGTATTTCTACTGCTTTGATGTCCGAATCAAAACAGAAGAGTAAAGGTATTCCTTAAATATTATTAAAGAGCATTTTTCATGGTCAATGTTAGACACATTCAGTGAGGAGACCATGATAAAATAAAATAAGTACAGGTTCTTTTCTCTTTTTTTATTACAGGACTTAAGAATGAACAGCTAGAGATGATTGATGGACTTATTATAGAATATTATTACTGTTTTTATATGAATTAATATCAATCCCCTGCGAGATTATCAACCAAGTTTGCCAAAGCCCTGAAAACGTTGTGTGTTTGGCTTCTACGTAAACACAGGAGCTGAAGAATAGGCCGTCCTGTAACGATGATTACAGCCGTCGTGGTGACAGAATATGAAGCCTCTGTGCTGCCGAACCCTGTATGTAAGCAATTAATCAGCATGTGACGATCTCCATGTTTACAGAGCATGAATGGGAAGGAATAGCACGTGTGTGTGTGTGTGTGTGTGTGTGTGTGTGTGTGTGTGTGTGTGTGTCTGTGTCTGTGTGTGTGTGTCTGTGTGTGTGTGTAAGTGTGTGTGTGTGTGTGTGTGTGTAAGTGAGAGCAGTTACTAGGGTGTCAGTAGTGTGTGCGGTGTGTTCACAACAAAAGCTGCTCTTTTGTCGGCCTGGCCCTGCCCAAATCCACAGCTGCCTCAAACTGCGAGCACGGCATGGAGGCTTAATAATAGTCCGAGCCCTGCCGCCAGTACTCCTCATGAGAGACACGGACTCAGTAATAATGACACAAATGAACACACACAGATACACACATCCTGTATTGAAGATGTAATCAAATATACGAGGAACGATGCAGTGAACACATCTTTTCAATACATGTTTTTACTGTTCCGTTGCACACATGTCCTCTGCTCTTTCTAAATTTAAAGATCAATTAAGCACCATTGTTCTGTCAAAATGATGACTTCTATGTATCGATTAGCTGCTGTATTGCCCAGAGTTAGATGAGAAGATCAAGACTACTCTTCTCCGTATGTGAAAATCCCATCTGTAGCTTCTGTACTGTGACGGATTCCCCAGTGAAACCAAACATTTGAGCTGTGTGCAGTTAAAAAAAAGTGGGCGGGCTAGAATGTAGTGTGATGTGGAGCTGTGGCTTCACACCACCCCCCCCCCCGGGTACAGAGAAAAGGATTTATTTTTGGTATTTTTTTGCATATATTATTAAATAGGTGCACAATATGAACGTCGCTGTGATCTGAAAGGGTTAAAAAGTAATTTTTCAATTCATCTCGACATAAGATATCAGGCTGCAGCCACCAATCAGCTCAATGAAATTAGCATAAACACTGAAAATGGGAAAACTAGCTCGTCTGGCTCCGACTAAAGGTAACAAAATCTGCCCACCAGCACCTGTAATGCTCACTCATTAACATGGTTTGTTTAAATCATACAAACACTCATGTAAAAACAACATGTAATTCTACAATGGTTATGTGTACACTACATGTCAGCTAGTGGACTTTAGAGGTGCAGGTGGATTTTGTTAGAGTCACGCTAGCTGTTGGTCAGTCTCACCGGCTTCTGACTGCAGCCTTATATTTATCAGAGCAATACGAGAGCGGTAATGATCTCTGAGTATTGTATAACATCAAAGAAGTAGCTCTTTGTAAAGACGAAGGCTCGTCAGCGCTGCCAATCCCACTGAGAATCCTCCAGCTCATGGGCTGACTTATGTTGCAAAATGGCAGAGAGCCGTAAATGAGGAAAACAAGTGAGCGCTGAAGAAGCCAACATCTAGCAATCCCAAAAAAAAAAGACTTGGATGTACTTCTCAGGAGTTGGCCGGCTGAAACCGGGGCAAACGCCAGTGAATATTGGATTTACTTTTGACAGGTGTTGAGAAATACGACTCCAGATGTATCCTAAATGGAATTATACATTAAATTAAACTTGGAAGTGACCTTTGGTTTTGGGCTACCGTTGTAAATGATCCTGGTTCACAATCTTTCTTTGGAAAGGCCTGAACAGTTTATTTGAACTTCTTCTTGTACTGTAAAGGTGTAACTGCCTCATTTATAATAACTTACACTAAAAGCATTGGATGGTTGGAAACTCTGAACTTATCACATCATGAGAGATATTGACAAATATAGACAAACTACTTTTTCCATAATCATAACTTCTGATATTGTTGTGTGTGTGTGTGTGTGTGTGTGTGTGTGTGTGTGTGTGTGTGTGTGTGTGTGCAGTGCCAGGAAGAAATGTAAACATGTCTGTAGTTCATTTAACTTTGATTACTTGTCTGAAACAACCAGATATAAATCATATTTGTGTTGTTTATGGACACAGACGTGTGTATATGGGACCATCTCATTCAGAGGCTTCATGCTGCCATTAACCAACCATAACAGACTCATAGCACAGAGCTCTTGATTCGATGGCATGAGAAAAACAACAGTGGAAGGAAAATACGTTTCCATGAAATGCTGCCGCTGCTCGTTAAAAACAATGGCAAACATTTGCTGCTCTTTTCCCCTGGAACGAGTGGAAACGGACTCTCTGTGTCATCTTTCCGTACAATTAAGGTCTTAGAGAGTGTAATGCAGAGGCCTTGGCAGCCTGCTGCCTTTCTCTGTGGACGGAAGGAGGGGAAGCCTGGAAATCCCTCAGCGTGGGATGAGAGCAACATATCGACTTGAAGTTCATGAGTCTGATTATCAAATTATTATGAACATTTAACAGCGCCGTCTTCAATTTAGCCCAGATTTTTGTTTGTTACATCGTGTCAGAGTTGATTTTGTGCTCGTCAGCCAAAACCATAAAGCGCCAGCGTTTGACTGGAAAATGAATAGCAGGCACATCTCTCATCCCGCTGCAGTGAAGTAGATTTCACTCCCTCTACTGAACGTACAGCGGCTGCAACGTGCTTATACGAAGTTTACATGGATGAGTCGCATCAGCTGCTCTGTAGAAGATACTATTCTTTAAACTCTACTCTTAAGCCAATGAGTAGTTGATCGACGGATATTTATTTTTCATGTATCTTAGGAGTTTGGACTGACAGAACAAGCTATTATGAAGACACCTTGGGCTTTAGGGTGTTTTTCACTATTTTCTGACATTTTATTGACCAAACAATTATTTCAATAATGAAAATGATGGTTGGTTGCAGCTCTCCTGCTGTATATTGTCCTCATGGAACAGGAGTAAAGGAAAGATTAACCAAAAGGAAGAGAACAAATCTATTAACTTCCATGGGTAAGTGGACCCTGACCACCACCCAGTAAATGACTGGAAGAGCGTCATGCCCTCTGCTGATAAGACCTACAGCATGGACCACTATTAACCATCGTAATGAGCTTTGCCCATCTCCCTGGGCGGCCGTTTGGGCTCCAGTGGTTTCCTCCCTAAAAGCCCGGTCCTGTGGTCATCTGCTGAGTGGAGCCACTATGCGGTGTCCCTCGATCCAAAGGCGGGAGGCGAGGCGATTCTTTTCAATCGCTTACCGTCAGATCAAAAATGGGAAATCCAGCGATGACTCACAGAAACGAGGGACTTTGAGAAACTGACTTTCTAAAGATCTATGTGCCGTCACCCACACACTCACTCACTTACTCCAAAAGTGAATTGAAAATAACTCAGATCACAGAGCAGCAGCAGAGTTGAACGAGTAAACCAGAGAGAGCTTTACTGAGCCGACCTGGGAGATTTCAAGACAAGTTCCATCAAATGACCATTTCTTTCCACTGTGTGTGTGCGTGTGTGTGTGATTTTCTCTTCACGTTTCCTCTCATACCTGGGGCTCTGTGAAGACGTGGACTGTGCATGTCATTACAGGGACCTGCGAGTGGAAACTGTGTGCTTTGATATTCCCTCTTGCAGGCAGAACGTCTTGCCTCTTTTTCTTCCCTTTGCACAAATGTTTTTTTCCGTTGTGCCATGTTGTCTTCATTTACTGGACTTGTTTGCTTAATCTGCTCTGCCAGAGTAATGTTTTGTAAGCCCGGGTCAGGGAACGTTTTTCAATGTGTCACAGAGGGTTATGATAATCATCCAGTTTCCATTTCGACAGGAGACATGTTTATCGTATCTGCTTCTGTTTTGCATTAGGGAAATATTTTTCATGTACCTCCCTTTGACATGCACTTTAAAAATGGAGGCGTGAGATTACCCAATCACAGTGGCGAGACGTTAAAGATTAAAGAATCTCCCGACGTTAATTCGTTCAGCATATGTAGATCTGACAATACGTTTGTTTCTGGAGCAGCGATTTCTTTTTTTAAAAGCTGCACAGACTGTGACCTCGTGACATATTCTAGCCACATTGTGGGATGTGTTTTTTGGGCATACATTGGGCATTAAAAGCCATCAGCGCAGAAGAGAAGGATCCATCTGATGTAAGCTTGCGTGAGAGCAGCAGCACTAGTAGTAGTATTTGTAATAGCAGTTGTGTATTTTGATGAGGGAGCCCCCCCTCCCAGTCATATGCAGAGGATCTCCCTTCAGAGCCACACTAACGATGGCAGGCAGCGCTGAATCACCGGCGTTCTGTTGCACTGTCATCACCAATACCAGTAAACCTGAGAAGACACTATCAGCATGTGAAACTGCTCATCGGCCGGGCTCCACTCAAACCTTTCACTTCTGGGTTATTGATGTGTGAAGCATAGATTACTGCTCTCTGATATGGGAAAATGAAGCCGTGTTTTATGTAAAATAATTGTAAAATATCGCTTGTGTGAAATCAAGTGTACTTTGTGTTTTATATTTTTTGTCTTTCGTCCACACGCTTATTTTTCTCGTAAGGAAAACAAGAGAAAAATACGGTCCTCCTACTTTCCATTGACTGTTTTGAGACTGAGATGGAAATTCACTTCCAAATCAGGTCATCCAGGTTTACATCGAGCGCAGCTGTAATATCCAGAGTGAAGCCTAACGAAAAGTGTTTGTGACAGAATGTGTGGGGAAACCTTTTTTAAATACGAAAAACCGAGTGAATCAAATTGAGAGTAATTAGAGCAACGATGCACTTGATAAATGATGACGTCATGGGTTTTCAGATTGTTTCATGCAAACTGATTTATCAGCCCATAGGTTGATGTTTGGCCTCTGCAGCGATCTAAACGGTACAGCGGAAAGTGATGTGCTTTCTGCAGACGCCCACTTGATGTCTGTCTGTCTTGCTTTGCACCACGCTGTTCATATTGCTGTGGTGTTAGATTCACTCCCATCAATCAACACAGCTAGCAACAGAGTTCACCACAGAACATTTCAGCTGTGCGCGAGTCCAAGACATCGCTATTCATGATATTTTATACATTTGTTCTGCGTTAAAATGAGTCAAATATAGACTATAAGAGTGAAATATAAAACCTTTCTCAGCTACATTTCACTACATCGGTGTGGAGCTCGGACAGAAGAAGCCCAGCTTTCATCTGTATGTATGTGTACAGCTGCTCTGATGCTCCTGTGACAGCACTGAGATGCTCTTTATTTCGAGCACAGTTGCACCGCTTGTCTTTTGAAAGGTCGCGACCTTTAAAGGAAATCTGTAGCCCTCCATCACAGTTTTATTTCAACGATGGAGTAGTCTGACAAAATCAATAAACTGCCCGACTTGTTGTATATTGTACCTCCAGTGTTATATACACACAAAGGTAAATGTTTGTTTTGATAGTCACCGTGTAGTCTCATAAGTGCGTGGTGGTGCTGCGAGTGTGAATGTGTGTGTGTGTGTGTGTGTGTGTGAACATGGTTGACATGGGAAAGGAAGAGCCTCCCACGCTAACAGGATGATGTGAGTGATGGTGGCCAGACACAAAAGCAAGCAGCAGAAAACACAAATACAACAGAATGTACACCCAGGCACGAAATTCAACCTGCTGGTCCCGTGACAGAGGCCGTAAAAAAGAAACGAGGTGTTTGATGGACATGTGTGCAGTTAATACACAAGAGAAACACACCGCAAGGGAACACCACAATATGAGGATCATTATTTATTTGTTTAATAGACAAGCATTCATGTCACTTTATGTGTCGTTAAATTTAAAATATGGTTTCTTCATGAAATGCTTGGCTTGGTTCACTTTCTCATCATTGACTGAGTCATCCCCGGCCCCCTTGATTTTAAATCAAGTTACAGTAATGTGGTTATTATGGGCTGGGCATGGTGTGCGTTGTGTGGAAGAGAAGAGCTGTCATGTACAGACAAGTCGACATTCTAACTCTTCCAGTGTCAGACTGGGCCAGAGGTCTCTGATGCACACCCTCCCAAACCAGTTTGCCCCGCCTTCTGTTTCTGACCCGTCAACGTCACCTTAAGAACACCCGAGAGAGGAATCACACGGAGGACTCAACGGGACAAAAACACTTTTTTTACATGGAAAGAAAGAGTGTTCGCTTCACATTTTCCATGGGTTTCACCAGAACACTTCTCTGTCTGTCCTTGTGTCTTTCCTCACCACTAAGTATTTGAAGATGATTTACTTCACGGCTGCACTTTGTTTTTTACTGGCTCCCTGCTGTGGTCCCAGTGTGAATACTGAATGGAGGCAGCAGATGTAAAACAATCACAAAATCAGGCTTTAACTGAGTCAGTGGATTAATAAACCAACCCCGGGCTCCACAGTGCGTTGGTTTTACTCAGCCCCCTTTGCACCTAGCTCTAATGAAATACCAGACAGCACAGGACCGTGTCTATATGTGGTAACTGGTGACATTTCTTAGACTCAGACTATGGTCAGAAATGGCACATTTATTAAACGGAATAGTTTCTCTCTTTTGTTGTTGTGAGGAGTGATTATATCTCGCGTCAGAGCTGTGACTTTGGGACCTTTAGGTCTTCCAGTTTGTTTGAGTTTTTCCACTTTGAGCTCTTTGCTGGTCGAGTTTGAAGTCTCAGAACCCAGCGTGGAACAACACCGCCCTCTGCTGGCAAGGAATGTGTACTTCAACTGAGCTTCCACCAAAGATTCAAATTTTTTTAAATCGTCCTCATCTGTCATTTTCCCACCAATGTGTGTCTCACTTGAATGTAAGTTTTAGCTTCAAAACTGTTGAATCCAGTGCTTTGATATTTTGACTCACGTATAAAAGATGTTGTATTTTTCTCTCCACAGTGAATGAAATCATCGGCAGAGACATGTCCCAGTCCCCCAGCAGTCACGGTCCCCCATCAGCACACAACCAGTCATAGCCCAACCCACACTTGGGCCCTGACGTAGCCTTTTGGGTCATGAACCACCTCCTCAAGCTCTCAAACCCCAACCCCGGGTCCTGGTCCTGGTGCTGGTCTCTGGTCCTGTTTCTGATGGGACAAGGGTGCAGGAAGAGATGAGAAAGGCCGCGGCCGAAGACAGAATACGGTTGCACATTCTTGTTGAAGCCTCGTGGACCTGCTACACCACCAGCCTCACAGGAAGACACTTTGATTTCTCTTATTTAGAGATATAGATACAAACCCACACAGATTAAAGAGAACATGGCCATGTCAAGTTCCAGCGAGGTTGAGATGGTTGGAGAATAAGATGTGACCCGCCCCTGACCTGACCCGACCAATCAGCTCTCCAGGACTATGGAGCAGTCGCTCTTTCAATAACTCTCTCTGCAGTGGAGGCGATGCAGCCGTGTCTGTTGTCGTCCCTCTCTCACCAGCATAGACCTTCATGAATGAAGACGTCTTCAGAGATTAGGAATAAGAATGAGAAAACCGCAGGAGTGCACCGTGCTCTCACAGCAAGCCTGGAGCTGGGGATCCAAAACATCTGGACACTAAAACTCTACAAAACATCAGCAAAAGTGTGGTGCGGCAAAACCAATTGAAACATGAGAAATTTATTATTATTTGTAAAATTGTGTTCCCACATTCAGATCAAACAACATTGAAGGATCAGAATCTCAATTATGATCAATTAAACATTTGAATTTGAATATCTGGCTGAACTTTCCAATCAAATCCCAGTTTGTTTTCGCTCTTGGCTCTTTGATGACGACATTGTCCGCTCCTCGATTGTTTCCCTTTTTAGATGATAACATCATTCAGGTCTTGGAGTGCAGGGACCCGGCAGGGGAGGTCGTGCTCCTCCGACGCTGGTCTGGGATCTGCAACTTGCAACATTCCACAACTTTTAGTAACCTTGCAGCTGTGTAGATATCTGTACATGAATCAACTCCTCTCTCTCTCTCTCTCTCTCTCTCTCTCTCTCTCTCTCTCTCTCTCTTTTCCTTCCTCTGTCTATTCTGTTTCATCCGTTGCTTCTTCCCTCTCCTGTATCTCTTTATCTTCAAGTTGAACAAATGCCTTATTAACTCTTAGCAGCTTTGAATGGTAGCTTAAGCTTTTTTGTTGTTGATTTGCACAGCTGGCTTTGAGTGTGATGATGATATTGTTTCAGAAAGATGATTTTATGAACCCCGATGAGTGATGAGCGGGTTTCAGGACTGAGTTAGCCCTCTAATTTCTCTTCAAAGATATTTGAAGATGCTCCTCACGTTACAAGGAAGTGTTTTTATTCATCCACAGACGTCCCTGCCTCTGAAATGGATTTTCATGCAATAACTCCCCAAATCTCCCAGAGGCCCTAGTGTGCCTTCGACTTCCTAACAGCCACCATACCTGTGATGGTATGACAGAAAATGATCTGACTAAAGTTTTCAAAGTATTTTGTACCTGAAGATGTTTATATACTGCATATATGTATCGTTACCCCCTCTTTAATGAACAAGGTAAAATCCTAAAGTCTAGCGAAGAACATCTGGATGCACTTTCCCTGTTTGGAACAATCAACTGTTTGCTGTCCACAATCAAAATCCTTAATAGTGTCCAGAACGGTGTCTATTCACAATGATGCATTCAGATATGCAGTGCCTGTACGGCAGCAATAACAAGGAAAGAGAGTCTCCGGGCAGGTTTCAGGCGTGTGTGTGAACAGACAGACTTCCATTCGGCTTTTCCATTTTGTTTGCCTTAAGCTTGACAATGATGCTCCTGCATGTGAGAGCTGAGGAGTGTTGCTCGTGACGGTTTTGAAGACAGTTTCCAGGTGACAATGATTCTGCTATGCATTATAATTCTGCCTGATGCCTTTAAAAATGAGGAGGAAAAAAAAAAGACAAAAAAACCCAAACCCTTGATGCCTCTAGAAGTAGACTGTAGACTTGTTGTAGATGCTTTGGTCCGTTCTGTTAGCATCCTGGAGCTGTCTGTCAGCCAATCGGCCTTGTCGAGGACGCAGTGTGAGCATCTTAATAGGTTCAGGTGTGTGTGTGTGTGTGTGTGTGTGTGTGTGTGTGTGTGTGTGTGTGCGTGTGTGCGTGTGCATGCGGATGTATGGTTGGTGTTTGTACCAAATATGCTGTACAGAAGACAGGAATTTCAAGAGTCCTATTTTCAACAACAGAAACACACACACACACGTATCGAGGCTATGCAAACGATAACAGCAGCAGATGTGAGATGACGTTGAAAATGAAAAAAGCAGATTATAAACTATTAGTAATGTTGCTTATGAACTTCACAGATAACATGCAGATGAGAGTATCATGTCACGATGTAAACTGTTAGGATGCCTTAACTTGTTTGAAAACCAGTTTGTCAGTGTGTCTGTATGCTGTTCTGGGTTGATTTTTCTTTTTCCATGACTAAAGACATAAGTCGGTAACTATTATTATTATTATTTTCCCGTTTGTATTTTTTTTGGGGGGAGGCACAGAGTGGATATTGAGGGTTGTGTGGGAGGAGGGGGATGGCTTTTTTTTTTTTTTTTTTTGCATATAGAGCTGGTGCTGCAGCTTGAAAGACTTGAGTCAACGAAAAACTAAAACAAAACCAGCAGCGGCAGTAAACTCTGGCTGCCGTCCTCGTCTGTCACAACCAAAGAGCGAACAATACGTTCCCATTTTACATTATGGTAAAGCAAACAGAGACTGTACAACTCTATTTTTGATACTTTGAAATGGATGTCATTCCTAAAAGGTTGGGGACATG